CTGGTTCAGGCAGGGGTTGGAAGCGCATTCGTTGATATTGGTCTGGCAGTTGGGTCCTGTGTTAAGAAAAATAGATAAAAGCGGCTGTGATGGAGGTGTGCCGATGGGAGGGGGCTGAGGGTACAGTGGGGACGTGGTGACAATGGCAATGGCCCACCCATTGCCCCGGAAGAGCCTCTTGTTCTCAGCTCCAGCCATGGGCACCCAAACTCTGCTGAAGGTCCCCAGGCTGGCTGTGCTGCCACATCTCCCAACCAGGCCTGGGGTCTCCACCATCCCCGCAGCAAAGCCTCCAGCCCATCTAGCACCATGGGGACGCCCACCCACAGCTCCCACCCAGGCCCCAGCGTGGGGGGGACAGGGCAGTGTCCCTGGCTGCACCCTTACCGCTGAAGCCCTCCCTGCAGGTGCAGATGTAGCCACTGGTCATGTCCTTGCAGGTGCCACCGTTCATGCAGGGATTGGATTCACACTCATTATTGTTAATGTCGCAGTTTGTCCCACTCCAGCCTGGGTCGCAGTCACACCTGTAGCTTTGGGGAAAAATTGGGGCATAAAGCACAGGATCTGGTCCAACCTGGCCCTCCTGGCTACACCAGCCATCACTTACACAGCAAACCCCAGCTCCTAATCGTGCCCCTGCAGGGAAACGTCCCCTGGCACTAGCACAGAACACGGACGAGCACCGGCACAGAGGATGGCTGCTTGCTCTCCCTGCTTCTAACCCTGACTTTGCTGGGTGGCCCTTTGGTCCCAGCAGCCCCCCAGCAGCCCCAGCATCCTCCAGCCTACCCGTTCAGCCCGTCGTGGCATTTCCCGTGGATGCAGGGGTTGCTGTTGCACTCGTTCACTTCGGACAGGCACTTGGGGTCGTGGAAGCCCTCGGGGCAGAGGCAGGTGAAGCCATTGATGCCGTCCTTGCACGTGCCCCCATTGTGGCAGGGGTTGCTGGAACACTCGTCAATGTTGATGTTGCACATGCGCCCTGGGAAAGGGGGGGGTGAGGAAACGTTACCCCATAGGATGTAGGCACGGTGGGCGCGCGCTCCCGGGGGCCACCCGCTGGGCAGGTCCCCCTCCAGCCACCTGGGGAATGGCTGCCGGAGGCTCGAATCTCCGGGCACACGTGTGCCAGCCGCATAGGAGCGGGCTGCCCTCCAGGTAGGGTGACTTCACACCCCTGCATCGCCCGCCTGGCTTAATTAAATGTAACTGGGAAGAGGCTGTGCCC